TAATAACACACTATATGCATTTTATGTTGTGTATATATAAATATATTTTTCAAAAGTGAAGAGAAAAAATATATTTAAAAAACTTATTTTACTATTCATATATTATTATTATTATTATTATTATTATTATTATTATATATAATATATATTTCTAAATACTTTTACAAATATTAAATTATCTATTTAATACATATTCATAATTTGTTGAGCCTTTTTTTCTTTACAAAACATTAAATGTAAATGTACAAAATTGGACAAGTGGTCCATCCAAATGTTGAGCTGTTCTTGCTTGACATGTTTGTCTTTGAACTTGGATCCCTACAATGACGAAAAGCAGCAACTACACTGAAAGTGAAGAAAACTGTTTGTCACTCCATATTTTCTCTGAATCTGAACACAGATGAGCTAAACATAATTAATAGTTAAGATACTCAATTTCAGTCAGTTTTTACAGTATTGTTACTGCCTTTTGCATAGCAGAATAAGGTATCAGTAACCGAGAACCTTTGCTTTTGCATGATGCTGCATCCACTGCCATTATACAGCATTATAAAGTCCGATATTACTGCCATATTAGTTATTAACAAAGTGAGTAGAGTCAGCAAAACAAAAACATCACTTTGTACGTTTTTAACCAGTTTTGTCAGAGGCATACGTGTCCGTGAGAAGCAGAAACCAGACACTCCATTAGACGCGGCCCCCATCGCTCTCTGCCACAGCTTATCGACTTATGTGCCTTTTTCCTTAATCGACTTCCCCCGCAGCTCTTCACTAAGCACCAGACAGACCGCTTCAGCCCCATTACACTGACTAATTGGTTAAACAATCAGACGGATAAAGGATTTTTTTGTGACTTTCAGGTGAAATCCACCGTATGAATGCACACGTTTGCAGTTAGCATATGACTAATGCTTATAAACTTTGTTTTTCAGGCCCTTCAGCACGGATTCTTGAACTTTGAGACGTTCGACGTAAACGAGTATGAACATTACGAGGTAATGATGCCCCATCGTTATTAAATGCTCATTAGGCGAACCAGCATGCAATGTTTTACCCAGAATTCTGTTCATTGCTCCTCAAGCCGGTTACATAATCATGTTTATTCCACCAGGAACCAAAGACATTTTAACCTAATGATAATCTCGGCTTGTTCAATTTGATTTAAATCGCACACATTGTGTGCAGCTCGCTGAAGTCAACGTGATTATACGTCGCCTACCTGTGTTTATAATCTCAGCTGTTATTTAGACAATCGCTGGAACAATTCATGCCAAATGAGCATTCAGTTGATTTGTCCTTTAGTATCATGTACATTTTCCAGCTTGTGGTAATCCGTCACCCGCTGTGCCCTCCGCTTTGAAGGGGTTACGACAGTCTTGAGCGACCTGTGGTTCAGGACAGCACAACTCACCCATTATAAAACATACTCCATCGGCTGTAATACAAACCTTCCTGCCTCAGTTCTGTGTTTTGTTCTTTTTCCCTAAATCTTTATTCTTTTCCATCCCTTTTTAACATATTTTCTCTCTCTAATTTTCTTTTTTTGCCCTTCAGCGGGTTGAGAACGGAGATCTGAACTGGATCATCCCATGCAAACTTCTCGCTTTCAGTGGGCCGCATCCGAAAAGTAAAATAGAGAACGGTAAGGTTGCTTGCCATCCTTTAGCCAAATGTTGTATTCATTTAAGCACTTTTCTCTGACGTGATGTTTGATGTAATTCAATTATGTGACAGTAGAGGGCACCCTTGTTATAATAAACACTGATGTCTCAGATTCACACACAGAACTAGAGAGTGCAACATTAGATATTAGATATCATGATAAAAGTAGTAGAGCAAATGGTTCAGTTAGGGTTCATAGGGATTTAAGTCCTTCATCCTAAATATAAAACGTTTTTTTTTTTTTTAAGTCTTTTTTTTTTTCATTGAATGTGTATGGATGTACTTCCTTTTTGTGACAGGTTAATGGGAAGTTTATTGTATATTTAAATTTTTTGGAATAATTATTTCCCATATTATATCTAAATATGGGAATTATATTATGTATTTAATATTTATAAATGTATAAATATTAAATGCCATTTTAAATAAATATAGAATTGTTTTCCATATTATGTTTAAATATGGGAAATATTATAAATGTAATTATATATATTTACATTTTTTTTATTCAAAATATGTCATTTTAAATTAATATATGTATTTAATAAACATATTTCTTAAATTGTTATTTCCCATATTATATATAAGATGTTAAGAGTGTACTTTCAGATATTTATAAAACTGTGCCATTTCACAAACAAACAAATATATATATGTGTGTGTGTGTGTGTGTATATATATGTGTGTGTGTATGTGTGTGTGTGTGTGTGTGTATATATATATATATATATATATATATATACACACACACACACACATACACACACACACAATTGTATTCTTGTTCTCGTGTGTGGCAGGTTACCCTCTACATGCCCCCGAGGCTTATTTCCCATATTTCCGCAAGCACGACGTCACCACCATAGTACGCCTCAACAAGAACATCTACGATGCCAAGCGCTTCACAGATGCCGGTTTCGACCATTACGCCCTGTTCTTCGTGGACGGCAGCACGCCCAGCGACGTCATCCCCCGCCGCTT